AATAATAATAATAATAATAATAATACAGTTCGTCATATCTGCCCTTATAACTATACACATAATATACAACGCTATACACCTCTTTTCATTGTTTAATACATGTTACTGCAATAACATCCACTCGTATAGATTAAACAGAACTTTGTTGTAAACACGATCATACGAAATTACAAATAGAATGTTGTATATCTAAATTAACATAACATAACATAACATCTGCTTCTGTTTACGTAATTGACAAAATGTATTTTTATGAAACCAGTTATTCATTTTTACAGTACATGTTAAACAAGCAACTTCTGGAATATCTATACATACAGTTTACAGTACCATGAAAACGCACACACACACATACATACACACACATAAAATATATCCTAACACGTAAATAAATAAATAAATAAATAAATAACGATAAGTAATGTAAATAAATAAATATAATTGCCCTCTTATATAAACGAGTATTATGATAAAGGTTAGGTTAGGTTAGATTAGGTTAGGTTAGATTAGGTTAGGTTAGATTAGGTTAGATTAGGTTAGGTTAGGTTAGGTTAGATTAGGTTAGGTTAGGTTCCTTATTTAAGACTGGCCAACAGCTTCTTCGCTACTTAACGAAGACCAACCTCGAGGTAATGAAGAGAAAATCTAAATTTCTTCCTCAATTGAAATATTAATACATATGAGAAGTTCTCCCTTATTTTGTCTCCGTAGCAACAGCAAGGACGTGTTATACATATATACATACACATACATACATACATACATACATACATACATACATACATACATACATATGTCTTGCAGAAAATAGTCGTAGGAGCGTCTAGGGTTTATTGTGGTGACGTGAATGACGATAATTAATGTTTAATGGCAAGAATGGCGTCATTATATAATTATTAAACAGTTTAATAATGATCATTAGCTTTCATAACACAAGCTAGTATGAACCTATAGTAAGCTAAGATTAACTGACTCGGTAAAATATGATCGTATGAACTGACTTGAAAATCTAGCGAGAAACGTTTTTGTTTGTCTAATAAACACAACTAAGTTAAAAAAAAAATCCAACAATCACCACAACAAGTATGGGAAACCTACTGTATATTGTTACTGGTGCAGATGGCAAGAAATTGTTTGATTTATCATAGTGTTTTCTGAATGGTTTTGTAGTGAGTATTATCATTATTATTATACTCTTGTTTTTTCTTCAAATGAGTGACCGTCGGGGTGGAGGAAGGGGGGGGGGGGAGAGGGGGGGGAGAGGGTGGGGGGGTGTTGGTGGAACTTGACGATAAAAATAATTTCTCAAAACATGAATGAGTTGAATATTTCTCTTCTTCCTCCTCCTTCTCTCCACCTTCTCCTCTTCCTCCTCCTCTCCGCCTTCTCTTCCCCTCCCCATCTTCCTCGATTTATATGCCGTAAGAATGTCTGTCTCACTTAACATTCTCATTATTATATCAAGTTAACTTTTCCCCCCCCCCTCTCTAACTAGTGCTGTGGGAACTTTTCTACACACTTTAGATAGATTCTCAAACGTTCTTAGGGTAATTTCTCTTCCTCCCTAACTGACTTGTGTACTTGTAAAGATCACAACGTTATCCAAGCATTAAAGGAGTTGATTTTAGTCCATTAGAAAAACTTATCTTCGGTTTATTTAAGAATTCAACTTCAAAATCGTAAGATAATGGAATTTTAACCCTGTGATATATATTAACCTCAAAGGGATTAAATTTATTATCCTCTTATCATGTAAAAATGTTTGTTTGTCCATTTAATCGATGTCTTGTGAACTGGACATTAAGTGATCCCAGACGAACCATTTAAAACGAGAAAAACAAAAAAAGTAAAGTGAATGAGATTTACGTCTTCTGTCTCGTCTCGTTTTCTATATATGAAAGAAACTTATTTATCCTTTACATAACTTTCAATATCACAACACCAAAATAATGAAGGATTTTTTCTTTTCTTTTTTCAATTCGTATCGGTGAGTTTGTGTTTGAGATTCGTAAATATAGAAATAAATTTGTGTGTATATACAGTATAATATGACGTTGAACATGTGACTATAGGTTATATAGGAAAGCAGGGACTTGAGATGGTGGGTGGGGGGGAAGGGAAGGACAATTAACGTTCTTTTGTTCCTTGTGTACTAACTACTAATTCTCTATGGTGAGTTTAAGCTTCAAGCAAAGAGACAGAATCGCGCCTGTGAGGACATATAACAAGCATTGTGTTTTGTCCCGTTTTTTAAGCCTCATTCGTGGTGTTTTTGTTATTTTTCTCTGCAAAATGAAGTGAAAATGTGTTGGCGAAAGTATGAAGTGAGCAAATAAACAAATACACGTACACAAAAACACAAAATTAATTATATTTTGTCTTTTATCATCATGCAATAACAACTTTATATTTTGATTATGTTTTTTTCTGCATGGGGTCTCCTCTTGTAGTCTGCTCTGTGGGTTGACAAGACATCCCCTTGGCTATAAAACCACAGTCTGTTCTATGAAAATACCAACTGAACGAAGAACTGACATACGGCTGAGACGTATCCCCCAGAATTTGTCTCATCGTGTAATGAACCAAAAATAAAGTACCATTACTATGTTACTCTTAGCTTGGGAGTCAGTATCCCTCTCGTGAATCAATGACATGTTAGCACTAAAACACACTAACGTGGTCCCTGTAGTGCATTAAAGGATTATAAACATTTATTACAGCTACACCTCAAACCTGGTCATTGATGGCTTCCTCACTCGATAAACATAAGGTCTCAACAACATACGAATGGGAATAGTCATTAATGTGTGGTGTTACTCATTACACATACAGAGAATAGTGGGGAATATTATTAGATGGATGTGTAATACTTCTCAGAGGTCCAGTTCCTTGTCAAGTTTTTCACACACACATATATGTCTCAGTAAAAGTTCCTCAGTTAAATGTCTTATTAATTCCACACGAGGAAGAGGTTAGACATCTTTCCTCTGTTTATGTCTAACAAACACCTGCCAGGTTTTCCATCATCCTCGACGCCTTATAGACAACAAAGTATCACGTCGTGGCGAGCCTTAAGGTGGGTCCTTCTGCAGCGTCTACCACAGAGGGCGTGTTGAGATTCCTTATGCTATTTACAGAAAGATTCCCTGTTCATCTCCCAACCACCTACCCCCATCCTACCTCCAACCTACCTCCAACCTACCTCCATCCTACCTCCATCCTAGCCCCAACCTACCCCCATCTTACCCCAACCTACCCCCAACCTACCCCCATCCTACCCCCAACCTACCCCATACCCCCCAACCTACCCCCACCTGCCCCAACCCCCAACTACCCCCAAGCTGTTATGAGTGTAAGATAACAGACACCAGCTTCTCTCCCATTCAGTTCTCCATCTTCCACCCCCTCCATATACCTACCTATTCCAGAGCTATGTCCGTATATCTCCGCTAAGACACGTGCATGTCCCATAAGAATGTCGTATGTTGACTTTGCAATATTTACACATTGCAAGTATTGGTGTGAGAGACTGTAGGCCACGTCACTCTCTTCGATCTATCCAAGCGAATTTTAAGCTGCGTCAGCGGCTCCATACACAACTGGCTGACTGATTCACTCACTCATTCGCTGACAGAAAGAAATGCAATGCCAATGACGGAGAAAAGTAGATTTCTAAACTAGTGGCAACAATGTCCAGTTTTTTTTTTGGTACTGTCTGTCTCTGTCATCCTATCTGTCTGTCTGTCTGTCTGTTTCTACCTTAAAAGACATGTAGGTGTCGTCACTTTGTAAGGAATGTGTAACTTGTCATTTACCAGGTCAAAGAGACAGTCCATCACAGCCTTAACTATCCAATCTCTCTCAGGAGTCTAAATGATGGTTATGTTTGTCATCACACCTGGCCAATGAGAGTCTCCACCTGTAATTAACACCAACCTAAATTCCTTCACTTTTCTCATAGTATCTCCTCATCCACAGGTCTACGTCACTATACCACGTCATTCACCTTTATTTATCTCTGTTCTAGTGACTGTCTTATCTGTCTGTCTTTCACTTTATTATCGTCTCTTCTAATCACTCTTAACACAGGTATAAAGTCACTCAACTCACTCTATAGGTCCTGGATAGTCGTGGTGCCTTCTCTTGCTGATTTGACTGATATTATTACCTTTCAAGATATTCTCAGGTTGTATAAGTCATTATCACTGGATCACAAATATTAAAAAAAAAATATTGGTCATTATCGAGTTGGTTCTAAGACTAACCGCATTATCTTTCAATCATTCTTACAATATTTGGATTCAAGGTCATTATATAATATTTTTACACCCATTTTTCATGTACAATATAATGATAAGTGACATTACATTATACATTGATATCCTTTTTTTCTTCTAATTTCCTTGTCACTTTGTTTTCTTTCAATGTTTTTTTTTTAAGATATTTATCATTATTGTTTTGTTTTTCTTGATGGGGAGAAGTTACTCAACAATGAACGAGGGAAAAAACATCATTATATTATTATATGAGGTGAGGAAACTATGTATTTTCCGGGTGTATTTCCCCTCCAGTAGTGAGTGTCTTGAGTGACTTGTAGCTAGAGGGTGTATTCAGTCACTCAATAAAATCCTCAGTCACTCATTTACGTCCTCAGTCACTTGTTTAAGTCCCCGGTCACTTGTTTAAGTCCCCAGTCACTTGTTTACGTCCTCAGTCACTTGTTTAAGTCCTCAGTCACTTGTTTAAGTCCTCAGCCACTTGTTTAAGTCCCTACAGTAGACCGGTCATACAAGATGGCATAAGATGGCTTGTTGTAGACTCAGCCGCCAAGTATAATAAACCCCTCGATATAACGGACTTCTCTTTCCATATAATCCGTTAGATGATGAGGAGGGGATTTTCACATCTAATGGATCCTCTATATAACGGACTTTTGTTTTTTCTATAGTCCGTTAAATGGAGGTATCACAATGGACCCTCGATATAACGGACTTTTTTCTATATCGTCCGTTAAATAGAGGTTTCATTGTTTACGACAGGGGGAGGGGGGGGGGTCTTCTCATATCAACTCCAGCAGTCTGTCGCGTCGTGTCGTCTCCCAGGGCGAGGGTCGTGGGAGGGAGTGGGAGGGACACATCTAGTCTTCGCCATACCAATAATCATAAACATACAAGAGAATCTCAAGCGGCTGGACCAGACAGGGATACTCGTAGAGGCAATCCTGTTCGCCTTCGTCGCCGTACATCGCCGCTCTCTGGTACTCCGTCATCTCTTCTTCAGGCACACTGTGAGGAGACCTGTAGAGGGAAGACACAATTAATGACGTGAATTCTAAGTGTGATGGTGTAATTCTAAGTGTGATGGTGTAATTCGAAGTGTAATAGTTCCTCCTTCTTCCTGTAAAACATAGAAAATGGACACCAGATCAGGTCATGTATTTGTACTAAAACATTAATTTAGAATAGTGTAAATAGATTTTTTTACTCCAAATTCGACCCAAAAAATAAAAAATAAACAAATAAAATAAAAATCTGGAATCTAGAATAGTTTCCCCTTTCATATGTGGCTTAATAGAAGAAAACTGACATAAAAGAGAACTCGTTTTCTATTTTACAGTGATAAGTCGAACTGGCTTTCTCTCGTTCACTAAATATCTCAGTGAATGTAACAATGGTTTTATAATATTGGTACAGATAATAATGAGTTAAAAGAATTCCTAATTGGTTTAAATAATAATGAGTTAAATAATTCCTAAGAATATTGGTTTGAATGAGTTAAATAATTTCTAAGAATATTGCCAGACGAATTTCTAAGACTTACTCCATTATTTTTGTCTTTGTGTTAAATCGTTGGCTACATATTTAAAAGCTTTGTTGAGTCGACTCGATATTATATTAATCTTAAGTGTAAAGAATTTGATCCGGAATGTAAAAAAAAAAATAATAATAATTTAGTAGGATAAAGATAACAGGTAACTTTGTACTTGTGTTATATTAGAGAGGTATTAGACGGGATCTGGGGAGGTGAAATGTTTTATTATGTAGTGTGGTGTCTGCTGTCTGTCTGTTGGCCAGGTTTGTCTGTTACTTCTGTTGGCGAGGGTTGTCTGTTGTCTGTGTTGGCCAGGCTTATGTTTTGCCTCTCTGTTGGCCAGGTTTATCTGTTGCCTCTCTGTTGGCCAGGTTTATCTGTTGCCTCTCTGTTGGTCAGGTTTATCTGTTGCCTCTGTTGGCCAGGCTTATGTTTTGCCTCTCTGTTGGCCAGGTTTATCTGTTGCCTCTGTTGGTCAGGTTTATCTGTTGCCTCTCTGTTGGTCAGGTTTATCACTCATCCCACAATTTCAGGGCAAGGTATTTTTTTGGGGGGGTCCTGTCTGTCTGTCCGTCCCCAAAGGTTAGGTTAGGTTAGGTTAGTTTAGGTTAGGTTAGTTTAGGTTAGGTTAGTTTAGGTGAGGTGAGGTGAGGTAAGGTTAGGTAAGGTTAGGTTAGGTTAGTTTAGGTGAGGTTAGGTGAGGTTAGGTTAGTTTAGGTGAGGTTAGGTTAGGTAGGTAGGTTAGGTTAGGTAGGTTAGGTTAGGTTAGTTTTAGGTAGGTGAGGTTAGGTTAGGTTAGGTGAGGTGAGGTGAGGAGGGTTTAGGTTAGGTTAGGTTAGTTTAGGTGAGGTTAGGTTAGGTTAGGCTAGGCTAGGCTAGAGTGGCTATAATTCTGAGGTAACATAAGCTGGGGTGGCTAATCTTCAAGTGATACAACTATTTCTATCAATATCACCTATTTCTGTAAGATAAGAGTCTGCCACATGCTGTCTATGGCATCCTAAAAAATGACTTTACCAACTGATAATAAAGGTATTAATTAGGCAAAGGTAAATTTAGAGCACCTGTAACACACACACACCAGGTTCTTCAAGAAAAGGTATTTGTGATTTTTTGTTTTTCCCTCGTCTCGTATCACCGGTTCAGCAGCTTCCAGACGCACACCAGCCAACGCCCTGACCCACTATCCAAAAGTTAGATATATTTTACAGGTAAATTCTTAGATTCAGTTCACCTGCATAATTCTGTAACCCACGGTAGGGAATTTATCTTTTACCTGGATTTTTTACCTGGAAACTGTACCTGTGTTTGAAATTTCAATTGAGGATTTATTTATTTTTATTTTTTTATTTTTTTTTGGGGAAGGGGGGGTTGTTTTTATTGATTGTTAATGTGGTAAAGTTTTATTCCTAAATGATCGTAAGTTTATTCTTGCGTGGAGATTTAACCATTGCCGAAGATAGGTCAAGCGTTGTTAAGACGTGTTATTCCTTTGACACACAGAGAGAGAGAGAGAGAGAGAGAGAGAGAGAGAGAGAGAGAGAGAGAGAGAGAGAGAGAGACAATATCTCACGTGATGCGTCCATTGAGAGATTCACTTCATTAACAAAGACAATGGGTAATTATCTCACTGTCTTTGTTCCGTCTGAGGAGAGTTAATGTTTTAGTGAGAGAATAATGATTTTTTTGTTAACCAATGAATATTTTTTTCTAAGAATATTTTTTGTCCTTGTTTTTGGTTCATTTATTTCCTTTTATTTCTTGTCTTTGTTTTTGTTATTGTTATTTGTTTTTTATTGGGTACTTGGGTTCATACAAAGGGGTGTTAGTTACAAGACTAGCGAGGTCATCCTAAAACTATATCTTGCTCTTGTGAGACCTCACTTGGATTACGCAGTTCAATTCTGGTCACCGTATTACAGAATGGACATAGAATCCTTGGAAAGAATTCACAGGAGAATGACAAGACTAATCCCTGGCATTTGGAACCTCGAGTACAGAGACAGGTTAAAGCATCTTAATTTGCACTCCCTCGAGAGACGTAGAGTGAGGGGCGATATGATAGAGGTGTATAAATGGAAGTCAGGGCTAAACAAAGGGGACATTACCAAGGTACTCAAACTATCCAACCAGGAGCGAACTCATAACAATGGTTTTAAATTAGACAAATTTAGATTTGGGCGCGAAATAGGTAAACATTGGTTTGGAAATAGAGTAGTGGACGAGTGGAACAAGTTACCAAATATCATCATTAACTCGAATACTCTGGATAACTTCAAACATAGGTTGGATGGATATATGAGCAATAGGGGTTGGGTGTAAATGGGACTGCCCAGTATGGGCCAATAAGCCAACTGCAGTATCCTCCATTCTTATGTTCTTATTTGTTTTGTCTTTGCTTTTATTTCCATCTTTATTTATTAGTTTTTTCATCTTTATTTCTTTGTGGGTTTCAGTAGTCTCGTTCGTATTAAGTCATCGTACTTAAGGGGTTAAGTTATTGTACTCACGAAACTAACTCATTATTCACAAGAGATTAATTCATCATACAGACAAACCAACAGCAACCCAGCGAGAGAGAGAGAGAGAGAGAGAGAGAGAGAGAGAGAGAGAGAGAGAGAGAGAGAGAGAGAGAGAGAGGAGAGAGAGAGAGAGAGGAGGTGGTCAGTTACGTGTTGACGCTCCGTTATGGGCCCTCAGGGGTCAAGTCAGGTTTACCCTTGACCCAAAAAAGGAATGTGTGAGAGAGAGAGGGGGGGAAGTGAAAGAGAGAAGGATGAAATGATCTGGGTGAGAGGAGGCGAGGAGAAGGAGCAGTGAGAGGGTGAGGGAAGTGTGACGGGACTGAGAGGGAGAGAGGACTGAGAGTATGAGAAAGAAGTGAGAGAGTGAAGAGAGAGGGCTAAGAGGGAATGGGGGAGTCAGAATGTGAGAAAGAAGTAAGGAGAGAGGGCTGAGAGGGAGAGAGAAGTGATGGGGAGAAAAAGATACTTAAATTTTACTTACAAAACACACTTATTTACTTAAAAGAACAAGTGAAGAGAGAGAGAGGTGTGTGTGTGTGAGCGGCGGAGGTTCAGTGTAAACACCGAGAGAGTCGTTAGTTATGTGTTGCGGTTTGTTTATGGAGTTCAACTAACCATAGGAAAAAGGCGTGACTTGTGTGGGTGTGGGTGGGGGTGTGTGGGAGGGGTGTAGGGATGAGTTGTGTGTGTGAAGGTGTGTAGGGTTGTGGGTGTGTGTGTTGTGTTGTTGAGGTGTGTGTGGGGGTAGGTGTGTGTGTGTGTGTGTGTGTGTGTGTGTGTGTGTGTATGTGTATGTGTATGTGTGTGTGTGTGTGTATGTGTATCTATCTGTCTACCCAGCAGTAATTGGGAACCTGGATGTTAATTGATTTGCAGATCGTATTCCGGAGTATTAGTTAGCCAGTGCAGTTGGCGAGTTGTCCGGTCTTCTCGGACTATTCCTTAACACTGGGTCATGCAGCTCGTTAACATAGGGCGTGGTTGTTGTGTTGGCGACAGCTTCTACACCTTAAACAAATTAACGCCTAGGTGGCCCTTGGGAACCAAAAATTTAACATCACCAAAAGGCAATTAACAAGACGTCAAGAAGCTGTTAAAACCACATCAGATATACATTTTAATACATCAAGCTCCACACCCACACCTTCACTAGTCACAGGTGTAGGTAATTACGCCCGGGTAAGCCACCACCGCCCTTAGGTAACTCTCCTATAAAACCCAAAGTTATCGGTGCGTTAATGGAGTCGTTTATAAAGGTGTGGTCGTAGGCTGTCAACAGGTACAGTATACAAAGGTGTTTACTCCCTCACACCTTTGTAATTAGACGCTACGAGTGTGGTAATTGGTTCACCTGAGGATTAGACACCCTAGTTTATATCACCTGAAGATTAGACACCCCAGCTTACGCCACCTGAAGATTGCACACCCCAGCTTATATCACCTGAAGATTAGACACCCCAGCTTATATCACCTGAAGATTAGACACCCCAGCTTGTATCACCTGAAGATTGCACACCCCAGCTTATATCACCTGAAGATGACACACCCCAGCTTATATCACCTGAAGATTGCACACCCCAGCTTATATCACCTGAGATTAGACACCCTAGCTACACCACCTTGTGCTGTTAGGTTAGGTTAGATACCGTGTTGCACAAGCTTTAAAGGGGCTAATCTTCAGGTAACTCATCAATTTTCTTACCAATGGAATTATTTACAGTTATTTTATATTGTTTGTAAGTGTTAAAAGTAATTAGTAAAAAATCCTTTAGAGAGTTACCTGTACCTTTCAGACGGTCACCTGAGGTCCCACCCTAGTTAATGTCTTCCTGTCCTCCTCCTCCTTCCTTCCTTACTTCCCTTCCTCCCTTCCCTTCCTTTCCTTCCCTCCTCCCTTCCTTCCCTTCCTTCCTTCCTTCCTTCCTTCCTTCCCTCCTCCCTTCCTCCCTTCCCTACCTTTC